TTCTTAAAACTAGTCATCTTGAGAATACTTACGACTGCATTCGTCTCAAACGTTTACTCAAGAACCCTTTGGATTTCCCTGTCGCTGCTTTGAATAAACACCCAATAAATATTTCAAGAAAGAAATTTGATGATCTTGTTTCGTTATGTAGAGGAAACCATCCAGTTGTTCGCATTCCAGAATGTCAACAATTTATTTTTAATTTACCTCATGAAAAAAATAATTGAGTTTTTGAGTTCGTTTTTCATTAATTCTTGTTTCTGTTTAGAATAAACTTTAATTAGGTATCTAATGAACATTTTTTAATCTTTAATTATAATTAATTATTATTATAGATAAATATTTTTGCATATTCCGAATTAGTTCACAATAAAACCTCGTATAAATTGTGTAATTTATTTTCATAAAGGGAAATAGTCTATGGCGTATCTGATATAATGAATCTGGTGCAAAGTCACGTACTGACGTAACTGCATATTTTTAACAAAAAAAGAATAAATTATGGGTTATATTTCCCATTTGACATAGACATCTTTAATAGCAACCTTCTAAATCCTGTTGTCCAAATTTAATAACCACATCTTTATTATTACTTGTGTTTTAATAAGTTATGGTTATAGAGTTTTAGTTTTTTGCATCTCCTGTAAAAATGTGTGCATGTCAGATACGCCACTACGTGAGAAAGGGGACGATATGTTTAGCCAAAGGTGCGTTTACGCACCATCATTTTTTTCATATACCCAATTTTTTTTTTGATATGATATATGCCAAATCGTCTTAGTTAACATATCTTTTGCTATAATCAATAATTTTTTTCTAAAATTTACAATTATTTTCTACCTTGGCCGTAAATGGATTAATGGTAGCAATTATCGTTTTAATTTCATATACCTACAATACAGCAGATTGCATAAAATCACTCTTGTGTGCGTAATTTTGTGACGGTTCTGTCGCATACATTATTTTGGAGGTTTCGCGACGTTGTCGTTCTAATTTCCAGCCATGCCATGCCACACGTGCGCCCCTAACCAAGTTATGGTAATGGGGGACTATACAAACCCGCCGAGTCCGCGGCTGTTCGGGTCGCAGGACCGTTTCGGTGAATTAAGCAGGTGACTACTTTAAACAAGGACTCTCGGATATAGTTGGCAGAGGAATAAAATCGGACGAATCGGCGGCCGGGGGCCACTTCGTCCCGGCGCCGGTTTTAGCCTTTATGGCGTCCATTATGTACGCCAAATAATTTACCGGGCCGACGGATTTTCGGAGGATTTTAACCGAAAACCCCTCTTACCCAACGAAAGGTCGATATCTACGGTATTACCCCAAAAAAAAAGAAAGTTAACTAAAGTAGACAGTTTCTATTACACTGGATATGACTTATTAAACAATTAGTTATGGCATTAGTATCACACATTGTCATCAAATTCAGTAATAGAACTGAACTAATTATAGCTGTGGTGATTCAATGCACTGGGTTGGGATTCATAATTCAATAACTTGACAAAGCTGTTTATCACTCTAACAAATTTATTTTCCATCATTATAATTGATTTACTCGTAGAGTTTTTAGTTTAGTTTTAGGTTTTAATGCAGCTCTTCAGTGCCAACGGTAAGTGTAGGTTTTGCATTAATTCAGAGTGCCTTTTCTCGTTAAGATGGTCGAGGGGCTTTCATAGCGTGCCTTCCAAGAAAAGTTTACACCTCACATCACTCTGTGAGGTGTACGAAAAGTTATTTCCGTTTATAGCCGAAATTCGATTAAGACATGTAAAGAAATAGTCTCCAAGACGAGGGGATTTTTAAATTTCTTGGGATGTAGATTGCAGAATCCCCCCTTTAATCGTATAATTGAAAATGAGAATTACTAAAATTCATTCGAATTAATGTTGTTGGTGGCTAATTAGAAACAAAGTTTATAACTTTAAACTCGATGGTATGGGTATTAATTCGAATTTCCCTTCGGAAGTGAACGTTGCTCTCATGCTGTTGCTATCAATAAGTACACCCTTAATTAGTAGTGACCACCCCGGGTATGACCAAGAACTAAATCCACCTTTATCCGTGCAAACATTGGGACCGCGGAATTTAGATTTCGGTCGACGAGCCACCTGGGATCGTGGGGTTGGTGCGGACGTGCAGATTAATTACGCGGCTTCGTTCCGATTGTCCAGCCGCGTTTCGTCGCCATTAATTGCCCCAAAGCGAGGATTAATGTCGGAAGTTCGAAGGAAATTTCTTGCAGAACGGTTCATCATAGAACCACGCCCTCTGCACGAACCTCCACCATCGCCTCTAACTCACCCCCAGATGTTGCTAACCTTCAGCGCTTTCGTCCTTCCGGTTCCACCCTTGCTAATTCAATTGTCGAGGAACGTCGGGAAACCGTTTACTGGGTTAGCTTTTGCCGGAGAACTCACCTTTGTGCTCCCGGGATTTCTGGATAAAACTCGACTGCATCTTGCGTGAGTTGGAAACATTTTTCGCGAGAAGACAGCTTAAATGTACCTTATTGCAAAAGTTCATGACCGTCGTATTTCGTTTGGATTTTTATTTTTCTTTTCCTTAATGAAATATTAATGGGGAAGAATAAGATTGCATTCAGAGTATCAGATAAAGTTGGAAATATTCCAATTTAGCAAAGAATGGAGACATTCCAGTACATAAATTCCACCACAAATAATTAATGCTTTTCGTATTTCTCGCGTGTGTTCGATTATTTGATTATCCTTTTGGAATTAAGCACGCGGAAGGGGTTAACATGCCGACGTAGAGTTATGTTGATTATAGGGTGTCGAACCGAAGCTGTAAACATATGTACATCAGAGTATTCGGAACATGTACCGGCCAATTTCGTTGTGCACCGGAAATAATTGAAATTTAATTAACTGCTCGCGGCTAAATCGTGTTTTCCACCATCACCGCTCTACCGTGTCATCATTAGCGTTATTTGGTAACTTAACAGTCCTACACTGACTATGTTTATTAATAACTAGTAAATTTTTATGACTGGTAATCCAAAGAAAGATATATCTTGAGTTTAAATATTCGCCACAAGCCGAAAGATTAATCAGTATCGTTTCGACTTTATCCGAAATTATGTTGACGACATTGTCTGTGCTGTCCCCTCTGATAGTGTCACCACTGTTCTTGAGGTGTTTAATTCATATAATGCGCGTCTTCAATTTACTGTTGAGACTGAGTCTGACTGTTCAGTTCCCTTTTTGGATTGTAGGTTGTTCAGACAACCTGACGGTGCCCTCCTTATCGACTGGTACCGTAAAGAACAACACACTGGGAGGTATATTAATTATTTCTCCGGTCATCCTTTACACCAGAAGATTAATACCGTGACTGCCATGAGAGACAGAATCACTAAGATCTCCCACCCATCCTTTCGAGAAAGCAATCTGAGGATTCTTAGCCAAATGTTTTATAACAACGGTTTTCCCAGGTTCTGTTTAATGTTGTCGGGAATTTGAATGTTTCTCTTACTAGACCTGTGCCATCTCGTGGTGAATTGAGATTCTCGCTCCTGCCTTTTATTCCCCAATTGACTAAGAAAATAGTTTCTATTTTACATTCTGACAATGTAAAGATCGCCAAATATAATTACAAACCTTTGCGATAGCTGTTCACCAACCTCAAGAACCCTACCCCTACCATCTTGAAGTCTAATGTCGTTTATAAAATTCCCTGTGGTGTGTGTAATGCCGTATATGTGGGTACGACCTCACAGTACCTCACAGTAGTTTTTCCAGGCCGTTTGCTGGTTGTTCAGCGGTCTTCAACCGTTGACATGCTCTTAACCTCACTTTTGTTGGCGCTCTGTCCGTAAGTCTTATTGCGTCTTTTTGTTATTTTTGTTCATTTTTTGATTTATTGTAGATGTAATGTTCTGATGAAGGCCTAAATAAAAACCGAAAGCTTAACGTTATAAAAGGATAGTTTTCTTTTAATTCAGCGCTTTGGCTGCTATACCCGATATTAATTTCCCTACAATTAGTTAACAAGTACAGCCGGTACTTCTACTCTACTTTATCCGAAAAGTTTCTGCAGAAGAATCCTTTAAACTTTATTGCTTCTGTATCTAGTACTATTTTTCTTGCTTTTGTATATAGCTTATTGTTCCAGATGTATGTTGTTGGTAATTTATAATCGTTCTGTGTTGACTCTGATTCTTCATCTCTACATTTAGGTTGTTGTTGACCTCTCCTGGGTTCATCCTCATCGGTAATTATGAAGATTGGAACTCACGACTACGGTTATAACGTAATTATATTTTGTTGGCTTTAATAAATTTTTTTCTCTCTTCCCTATTCAAATATTCAGATCATATTTGTGAGTGTGGATGAAAGCTTTGGCAGCAAAATTGTTCGATCCTCCCAACAAAAGCATATCTGAAGAGATAAAACAATGCAAAACATCATCAATAAACTGGAATAACCGGTCAAAATATCCGCTCACCTCTAGATAAAACCCTATTAAACCGATCTATTCGCCATACATACCAACTATTCCAGTTGGAAGCTAAATAAATTCGTTCACCAGCATATTTCGATCAAAATGCAAAATTGCGAGATGATGAAGATGTTTGCAAATCATCTAACTACAGTGTTTCAACTTCCTCGAGACAAATCTCCGGGGATAAAGAGAAATCAAATGTGCTATGCTTCATCTTGAGTATTTTTTAATTCAGTGGAAAATTGCTGCGTTAAAAATGATATTAAAACCTGCTAAAGACCTTAACGACGTAATATCATATAACAATTATTTAATTGGATAACAACGAACAAAAATACATTTTTTTTGTTAAATTAAAGAACATGAATCTCAGGGACAAAAAAAAATAAAACGTAAGTTCATGGAGACATCTATAACTAAATTTTTAAATTTACGAACTAAATATAAAATAGAGCATAAAGAAATCTGTGCAAGAAAGAGGTAACTCCTTTATATGAGTGTTGAAATTGACAAAGTTTATACGCGTTAATTTATAAGGGTCTTTTAAGATTGATTTTTTTTATTTTAATCGCGAGGGTTATAAAAATTAAAGAGTTCGATAAAAGGAAATTATGTTCACTTAACTTGTTTCCGGAGGTGTGACATGTCAGTTAAAAATGGTTGGTTGACCTTGGTCTTGCGGGATGGATTCTTCGGTGTTAGTTTAGGATTCTCGGGAACAGGATGGAACATTGGACTCGATCTCAGGTATGGTTTCGATTTCTTCGCAGATAATTTAGAAACACTTGTTTACTTTTACTAGATAAAAGTAAATTGAGTTGTCAAAAAAAATTCTAAGTTCAAACTTAGGTTAGAAATTTTTAGGTTAAATTGACGTAGATTCGACAACGCTTCGCTATAAGCAAAATTGAACTCCTCGGTGTCAAATTTGCGCGGCCTTATATACCCTTTTTGGGCAAGGGCTTCTTGGATATCCGAATTTGATCGCCTCAGCTTGAATCTGGGCCCTCTGATTGGTTGATAAAATGGCGGGAATTATAAATTACACAGGTTAGCCAAAATGATTGAATTTTTTAAAGAAAATAACTATCAACTTTGAAAATATTCGAAATTATTAATAAACTTTAAATTTGATTAAGATTTTGTAATTAATTTTTCGTTCTTTTAGATAATCGCGCTTTCGGGTGTCAAATTCCTTCGAGAAATTCGTAATTTGATGTTAAAGTTTGGAAAGAAAAAAAATGGAATTTAAATATATAAAATGATTCAGAAATGGATGAAATTGCGGCCTAAGGGCTAAATCGACACGATCTATCGATCTCGCATGGTTTTAGAATCGAAAATCGTCTGAAAAGTCGCCAAAATCAATACCTGTCAAAATGTCAAGGTCAAAATTTGAAGGTCATAGACTTCAATGAATTACAGTGAGCGCTCACTTAACGTACACAATGCGTTCCTGAGTTACCGTACGTATAACGAATGTACGTTAAACGAACACGAAACATCCATAAGAATACGTATATTTATGTTTAATTGGTTCCAAGATGATCTTTGTTCGCACAAACGTACAACTTGTTCGTACGAACGTACACTTACGGCCGACTCGGGACTTTCCTACTTTGCTGGTTACACTACTCTATTTTACCAAATTTTGCATGGGGGATTTACCGAAAGAGACCGGACGAAAAAATATCTTTGTGAATTCAATCGATACACGTCCTGAGTTCGCTTCACATCGTTTCAGACATCGTCCGCGTCAATACATTTCGATCAAACGGGATTTTAGAAATAAAAAGTTGAAAATGAATAAAAGGAAAGGTGACCGCGAGATAGAACAAGGTCCGAAAAGAAGAAAAACGATTACTTTTGCTGAAAAACTGAAAATTATTGAAATGGCAGAGAAGGGTGAAAAACTAGCGGAAATAGGAAGACGTTTAGGATACAGTACATCAACAGTTAACACAATAGTAAAATCAAAAGAATGTTTGAAGTGTTATGTTAAAGATGGGGTAAATCTTCAACAAACTTCAGGTACTCGTATACGTTCTAATGTGATGGAAGAAATGGAGGGGATTTTGAAAGTTTGGTTAGACTCTCAATTACACAGAAATATTCCTTTAAGTCTTTCTGCTATCCAACAAAAAGCTAAGGAAATTTATTCAGAATTAAGAAAAAAATGGATGAGAACGCAACTGATACGTTTAATGCAAGTTGGGGATAGTTTAGAAGATTTAAAATCAGGGCCAACTTAATTAAAGTGAAATTGACAGGAGAAGCAGCGAGTGCAGACTCTAACGCTGCTAGTGAATTTATAGCAACACTAAAAGCTATTGTCCATGATGGAAATTACAGTCCACATCAAATCTTTAATGTTGACGAAACGGGATTGTTTTGGAAGAAGATGCCTTCCAACACATATATCACTAAAGATGAGAAACGTATGCCGGGATATAAAGCTGCCAAAGATCGTCTAACTTTATTACTAGGTGGAAACGCGGCAGGTGATTTTAAATTGAAGCCAATGCTGGTTTACCATAGTGAAAATCCGAGAGCGCTTAAAGGTGTATCAAAGTCATCATTGCCAGTGATTTGGAAATCAAATCGTAAAGCTTGGGTCACGAAATCTGTATTTGAAGATTGGTATAGAAACAACTTTATTCCAGAAGTGAAAGATTACTGCTCTAAAAACAACTTAGCGTTTAAAGCATTACTACTTCTTGATAATGCCCCAGGGCATCCAATAACGTTAAATGAGTATTTTTGCCACCAAATACGACATCATTAATCCAACCGATGGACCAAACCGTTATAGCCGCGTTTAAGAAATATTATTTACGTGCAACTATGGTAAGCATGATTAAAGCTATTGATGATAATAAGGAATTAACGGTTAAGTCTTATTGGAAAGATTACAATATTCATAATGGAATTAAAAATATATCTGCCTCTTGGGATGAAGTTAAAGAAACGACAATGAAAAGAGCGTGGAAAAAGTTGTGCCCGCAATTTGTTTATGACGAAGAAACAAATGTTGAAAATCTTCAAAACGAAGTTGTAGAAGGCGTGATAGAAATTGGAACGCGCTTAGGCTTGGAAATAAACGAAGAAGATATCGAAGAGTTAACAGAATCACATGACGAAGAGTTGTCTATCAAAGATCTCATGGAATTACAAAAGACAGATAATGTCGAAACGAATGACGATGACGCCGTTGAAGACCTGCCCAAAGAAAATGTATTAAACTTAGAAACTTTAAGTGAAATTTTAAATAAAATGAAAAATCTCGCCGATGTCATAGAGAATGTAGACCCAAATATGGAACGAAGTTCTAATGTTGTAGGTATACCCCGTGATGCGTTTACTTGTTACAAAACCATGTACATAGAGAAAAAGAAGACTGGCCTTAGGCAATTAACCTTAAAACAATTTTTAACTAAAAAAACTTAAGAATCGATAAGTTAATAATCGTTTATTTATTAAGTTATTTATACTATCTTTACTTGTACCGACTTTTTTAAATTAGAATAAAATGTAAAAATAAGGCTCTTATTTTTCTAGTTTAATAATGAAATTGGATCGTCGATGTACGTTAATGCGGATGACAAATGTACGTTGTACGAACACGAGGTCATAAAACGTCTTGTACGTATCTGCGAACGTACGTAAAGCGGGCGTACGTTAAGTGGGCGTTGACTGTACCTTTTTCTTGCACATCGTCCTAATTTTTCTTAAAACTAAACGAAAATCATAACAAAACTAACTACTTATAGTCTAATCCAATATAGTAAATTTCTTAAATTTAATTAGTCTTTTTTCTGTTTCTTTGGAAACAGGGATTTTATTACAATCGATTAGGGATTCCCAGAAATATAACATTATTTCATTTTAACCAAGTGAATCCAACACAACTCTTTAATAATATCATTAATAACATAAATCATGTTTGTTTGCAATTTTTTTCTATATTGAAAGCAATCCTATAGATTGGTATCTTACAACATAAATTATAGTCATCAAAGTAGGCTTTCGATTTTTTTTCTTAGAAACGTAATTCCCATCATTAGTCATGGTGACAGCTGGGTCCTTCCAAATTCTGATGGTTAAAAAGAACACTTTTCGTAAGCGGTGTAATATCGTAGCCGTAAAGCTCTCCCCTACAAAGCGGCACTTCGCCAAATTGCAAATTCCATCAAATTTTACGATTTTTTCCACCCCGAAACGCGCGTGACGTCGACCATTATCCATTAAGTGAGACAGAAAATAGCGAGAAATGCGATATTCGAAGTTTAACCGAAATAAAAGCTCTTTTGCTGCTTCGCAGACCATCACTACTGAAATAACTTTCAAAAGCCCTTCAAGTGTACATTTAGTTACAGGATATTTGGTTTCAGTACAACATTAATCACCATTCTTATCATCATGATCCCTTATAAATAATAAATTATAGAAACTTGATACTTAAATTTACCCTTTTTAATAAAGTATTATGAAGGGTTGAGTAGGATGAAATAAATACGTCGTTTTCATATCTATGATACCACATAAAATTAATGTACTCCCATTAATCCCTCGGTATCTCTTGGAACATAACATTTAACCGGTTTAAAATGCATCCAAAGTACCATTAAACTACAATAACTCAACTTCTCTTTTCAGACCAACATAATTGCGTACTCGCTCAATTCAAACTGACGTTACGCCAAACGAAAGATTTCTCGTTCTCAAACAAAAAGTAACAACTTCCATACATTTTCTTTTCTCCCCAAACTCACGACGATGCTCCCTCGACACGAGCCAATCGTAAGAAGACAAAGAGCTACTAAGGTTCATGTTAGGTTTGCTTGCCGATTACGTAGAAAGTTGAAGGGGAAAAACCTCGAAGCGGAAAACGCGTTATTCAACGTTCGCTCTATCGGTTCTTTCTCCCTATCTTTTTTTTTTTTATTTTTGAGGGAAGAAAATACTTGGACCGGCTGCGACCGCGTGTTTGTCAGCACGCTTGTAGCCCGAAAGTTTTTACTGCAGTTTAAGGACTCCTTAATAGCGTAATAAATTCCCGAAACGGACGTCACACCACCGTCGTTCCCGAGGCTTAGTTATAGAGCTACTAAGCGATTTTAATGAGTTCGCTTGGTTATTGTTACCAGGCCTGTGTTTCACGTTGTTTGGTATGGCGTTATTTGAAGATAATTAGTTTATGCTGGTAACGAGATTTCTTTGGCGGGTAAAGAAATTACAATGGTTTCTATTTTAATTGGTTAGAACTCACCTAGGGTTGCTACGTAACAATTAACAATATTCCTTTGTCAGGAGTACAATTTCTAAATTTAAATGCGAGTTGGAAGAGTACATAGCACATATAATGTTAAGAGAGCATACAAAAATGTACATTTTCAACAGTTTGTAAGCGGTTTAAAAGTTAATGAAGTTTTCGTGCGGAAAATTTGACCGGTTATTAAACGATTAAAACATATATTGTTTAAATAAACAAGTAAATGTAAATTTAGAATTTTCAGGTTTTATTTTAAAAGTAACCAATGAAAAATGTATGTTGTGGTATTTAAATTATAAATTGAAGTTGGAATTAATGTTTGCACAATGTTATTTAATGCAATATCGCTTATTCATTGAATGGATTCATATGACTAAAATTTTCTATACAAATTCGGTTACATTTTAAATTTAAATTATCATTTATTTTCATTAAAGTAAACAAAAAAACTCATAGTTAAATAAAAATTATATTCCATTCTATATCTTTGAAAAGTTGTCTAAATTATGTCTAGATTATGATACTCATATCTGTAAATAAAATTTTTTTTTGTTTAATGACAGAATGTAACATTGTGAAAAATAATTTCAATATAACGAATCGTTATTAGACAAAATAAGTACATTTTTTTATTAATCTAAATAATTTAACATAAAAGAAATTGCAAAAGACGCATTCACTTTCATTCAAACAATATTTATCTACATATACCTTCATTCCTGCTTTTAGAATATATGATACATCATAAATAAAAGAGATACATTTTTGAATAATAAAA